AAAATGAAATTTTAAATAATTCTTCCTAATTTTTTTTAGATGATGATTTGTAAAATACTTTTTTCTTTATATATGTATGTTTGATAATGTGTATAAGAACTTGCCAGCCAATCCTTTAGAGCTGATTTTGTGATCGGTTCACCTCCGGACTCTCCATTTATCCGTTGAATCACATGGACAACGTCCTTCTCTTGAAATTTCACTTTCTTGATCAGGTCATCCTTAAAAATGCCCTTACCATCAGTCCTGTCACCATATTGAAGCGAAAGTAAGCTTAAAAATCATCGATGTTTGTATAATTTAAAATTGAGATACATATACGTGGCTTGCATGATAAATTAATATTCTCACCCGCTTTGCACACGGTAGTAAATCAGCTCAGCAGCTCTTTCCGTTCTGGAATTTGATTCCATTATCATCTCCTGATCAGCAAAATCGTGGAGTTGTTTTATGTCATCAAACGAATCCCAACACCTGATCATCTCGACGAACTCTTCCATGGTCCAAGCAGATGCATTTTCTTCATTCGTTTTCTTCAGCAAATTGATTGCAGGCCCTTCCTCCACTTGTTGGTCTCCATGTTTTGGCAACCTTTTATTGACCCACCGTCTAACACTTTTAGTCTTCTTAATACAACTTTTTTTTCTAACTAATGATAATGAACTTGTTTCCTGTATATATGCAGAGAAGACCTCAAGTATATATAGATCAATGATTGATTGCTGAACCCTATCAAAGAATCTTCCAAATTTGAAGGAAGAAGATAGTATGTTTACTAAAAGGGTTTTCACCACCCATAGCAACCCCCCAATTGAAAGAGTAGCTAGAGACATGCTAACATAATGCCGAATCTGGTAGCCGTGCAGCAACAAATATGATTTTGATCCCTTAACTTCACTAATGTGAAACAACAGATACCATGTGACAGAAACCGAACATAACCACAGGAAAACACCAATACTCCTTCCCGAATCATAAATGAAATAACTGTAATAAGCCTTCCTCTTAATGAACGCAAACCTTCTCTTAATCAACGAAATCGCAGCTTTAATAATCAATCCCATTAATTGTCTACCGAAAAAAATGACCGATGCTAGCGCACACCATTTCCACAGCTTCAGACCCCCAATCACATGGTTTTTAAGCACGTCCACCTTTAAACTAGTAACCAGGAACCCAATAGAGCAGGCAAATAAAAAAGACTGAACTATGGTTGAGAATGTCCGTTTTCCTTTTTGCTTCTCTCCATCATCGGGGATGGTATCATCATCCTTGGCCGTACCCTTCTCTGCAGGTTGCGAATTTTCTTCATCAGGTTGCTGTGGTGGTGAAGACAGTCCGTATTGGACATCGACCCTTGGAGAAGAGACTGCTCCTGGATCTTCAACCCGGATCACAGCATCATTTGTTTCGTTCTTCATTGCCATGCCTTTCCCTGCTTTCACTTTTCCGCGAGAATCTCCGGGGATAAAGATGAAGGAAATGTAATTTTCAGCGGTGTTTTAAAAATGGAGTAGGAAATCCGAAGTCTTTAGAAGTTTCTTTCTTTTACCTGAGGAAACAGAGACAAAACCAGGGAATTAAAGAAAACAAATATGAGAAAGAGAGGTAGCTAGTACGAATTGGATGAAGAGGACGTAATTAGCGAGGGAAATCAGGTTTGTGATGAGTAAGAAAGAGAGAGGTAAGCACAAAACTGGAAGTTTGGGTTTGGATGAAAAAAACTTTTCTTCTCAGTTCTATATATAGATGGTAAGGGTGTAAGGATAAGTCTAAGGCATGAACAGAGCTCTGCATGAAAGGTCCAGTCAATTAATTAATGGTAGGGACGCCTTCAAACCAGCTCTCTAATCTCATTAAAAATTGACTTAAAAAAAGGAGGGGAAAAAACAAGATGACTTAGCAGGTAATGGGAACGTCGCGTAATTATATGCTGCCAAAAGATAAAAATCATAAGGTGAGAATTCAAGTTCATAACTGGGGACGGTAACTACCAAGAAAGATAATTAATTAATTACCATAAAAAAAGAAAGATAATTAATTTTTTTTTATTAATTTAGATGGTCATGGTGTTGCAAGGTAACTTCTATGCATATTTAAACTAATTTCTTTTCACAAGCTTTTAAGAGTGTATTTTTTAAATTATTAGCTATATGATTTAGGGATAGAATTATATGTATTTTTAATTATAGGTTAAATTTAATTTTTGATCTCTACATATATATTATAAAAAAAAAGAATGTAATCTTTTTTTACTAAATTTTTGTCTCAAATCAACTATCACTTTCCATTACCTACTTTCAAAAAAAAAAAAAAAACTATCACTTTTTTTTAAATATATTTTTAAGTTATATTAATCTTTTCTTATCATTTTAACCATGTTGTTAAAGCTTATATTTTAGGTTTGGTTTGGGAGTACAATTATATGTTTTTTTTATCTTTTGATACCGTAAAAAAAAAAAAGCTGGTCTACCTCATTAAATACTCCCTCCAGCATTATTAAATTGTCCGATTTTCTAAATAAAGGTAATTTAATTTAATTATCTTATTTTTTTATTAAAAAATCAAGTATTATACATTTGGCCGTCATATAATGAAAATGGAGAGCACGAGAGGGACGGCAAGGGGTGCGGCAACAGGGATCGACGGTGAATACGGACAGCGGCAAGGACACAGGAACAGGGCTGCAGGCTATGGGTCACAGTTTTCCGGCTGGTCGACGACATTTTTCTTTTATAATTTTCCGGAGGAGTTGGAGGCAAAATTTCTATGGAATTGCTTTCAGATGTATGGCAAGGTGGTAGATGTGTATGTCCCAAACAAACGAGATAAGCGAGGGAAGAGGTTTGGGTTTGTGCGGATGGTAAGGGTTAAGAACGAGCTTCAAATGGAGAGGTAGCTAAACACGATGTG